CTGGTCAGCCCTAAGGCCCAAGGTTTAAGATTTTTCAAAGCATAGGTCACAAGCTTCAAATGCAAAGGGACATGTCCTAGGATCCTGGAAGGAAAAAGAGTAAATCACTAATAATGGGGGTGCAGAAGTAGAACCAAATATTAGAATTATCTTTCCATATATGCCAAGGGTACCCAGGTTTCAGACCCTATGAATCTATCCTGTTTTTCAGAGTGGGCCTGCCAAACCATTCAGAAGAACTGCACACAAAAAGTCGGGAAGCCTAGGTCCTGTTCTGGATCCATTGTTTACTTGGTTGAGTAACTTTGGCCAAAAAACAGTAAACCTTCCTTGACCTGAGTTTTCTCCACCAGGAATAATACCTGTTCTGCCTGCCACACCAGGCTATTGGAAGGTCTGATGATAAGAGACATAACTACCCTACAAAACCATGAAGCATTCTTCCAAGTGGAAGGTAATATTATTTATTTTCTTTTTTAAAATTTTATTAATTTTAATGAAATTTTACAATTGGATCTCCATTGCACTTTTCTCCCTGCCCACTCCTCTCCTCTAATTTGCTCTTCTCTTTGAAAAGTAAAATTCTTTTATTGTTATATAACCCCTCCCCTCAAGTCCACTCCACTATGCTACCTTCATTCTGGACTCCTGTCATAACAGTAATACCTAATCATATATCCCTTTTAAACAGTTCTCTCACTCTGTTTCAATTCAGTATACATTATTTATCCCTTCTTTCTCTGTCTCCTCCCAACCCCGAAGTCAGTCCCATTTCACAACAGTGGCACTATGCAATATTTGTCCTTTTGTGCTGAGATATTTCACTCAGCATAATGTCCTCCAGGGTCACAATTTTATGTAATATTTTATGAATTCCTTGTTTTTCAATGCTGCATAGTATTCCACTGTGTGACTATACCAGAGCTTCTCTATCCATTCATGGGCAGTTAGGTTGTTTCCAACTCTTTGCTACTGTGAACAAAGCCACAATAAACATGGGTGTGCTTATATCTGCATGGGTGGCAGTTATGGTTTCTTTAGGGTATATTCCCAGTAGTGGAATTGCTGGGTCAAATGGTATTTCTATTTCCAACTCTTTGAGAAAGTGTCACACAGCCTTCCATAGTGGTTGTACCATTTTACACTCCCACCAACAGTGAATAAGGGTTCCAGTTTCTCCGCAACCTCGCCAGCATTTGTTGTTTGCTCTTCTTTTAAATTTTGGTATTCTTACTGGAGTGAGATATCTCATAGTTGTTTTGATTTGCATCTCTCTTAGAGCTAGGGATTTTGAACATTTCTTCATGTGTTTGTTCACCATCTGAATGTCTTCTTTGGTGATGTGTCTGCTCAACATTATTTATTTTCTATATATTAAGAGCCCTTCAAAATCCTGACCTGTGGGCAGATGCACAGATTCTTGGAAGGTCTTATCCTTTAGCAATCCCTTAACATCCTTCTGGGAGGATAGGAGTGGGGGGAGGATGGATCAAGAGTCCAACAAGGCAAAGCTGAACTTCTAAGTCAGACACTCCTGGCTCACTAGCACCCATGGGTGCTAAGTTCTTTCTTACACTGAATCTGTCTTGCCTTTTACTATCTGTGCTTGGGTCCTCCTGTTCTGTCTGAAGATTTCTGCTTTACCTGCTGAAATGTGACATCTTTTTTAGTGCTTATCCACTGAAGACAGTTACTATCAAAAAAATGCGACCTAAAGAAATGGGAAATCCAGTGTGAAAAACAACGAACTTTGTAAGTAATCCAGCATAAAATAATTTTTAAAATGTGACCTAACATTGCCAAAATTATAATTCCTGGAGTCTGGAGTCCAAGTGCAATAAAACCCATCATGTGATTTTGGAACGGGTTAAGGACAAAGTCAGCTTTTAGACCCCTTTATCTTTTTCTCTTCTCTGACTCTGGTCATTTATTCCCTACAGGACCTTTTTTTTTGAGGGGGGTATGCTGTTTTGGGGAGCAGTAGCTGCATCTGTATTATAAGTGTCTACCTTTTACCCACTACCAGAAGTCAATTTTGACCCATAGTGACCCTCATCCAGTTTCTTTTTTTTTTAATTATTAAATTTTATTAGTTTCAATGAACATTCACAGGGATTCTGGGCTTTCACTCCTTCATTGCCGC